CATCTCGAGTAGAGCCAAGGAGGTGATCCTCCCCCTCTACGCGACGCTGGTCAGGCCACAGCTGGAGTATTGTGTCCAGTTCTGTGCGCCCCATTTCAAGAGGGATGTGGACAACATGGAGAGGGTCCAGAGGAGGGCCACCCGCATGATCCGGGGACAACAGGGCAGACCCTACAGTGAGAGACTGCGGGACCTGAACCTATTCAGCCTCCACAAGAGAAGGCTGAGGGGGGACCTGGTGACCGTCTATAGACTCACTAGGGGGGACCAGAAGGGTTTGGGGGAGACGCTGTTTCCCCTAGCGCCCGCTGGCATAACAAGGAGTAATGGGCACAAGCTGATGGAGAGGAGGTATAGATTGGACATCCGCAAAAACTACTTCACAGTTAGGGCGGCTAGGAGCTGGAACCAACTTCCAAGGGAAGTGGTGCTGGCCCCTACCCTGGGGGTCTTTAAGAAGAGGCTGGATGCCTACCTGGCTGGACTCGTTTGAGTCCCGTTTCTCTTTTTGGGGTTTTTTGTTGTTCTCCCGCCCTGGCGGGGGGTCGGGCTAGAAGATCTACTAGGTCCCTTCCGACCCTTAATCTATGAATCTATGAATCTATATAACTGTGACTTGCATGGTCCTCAATTTTGTGTTAGTGGGGAGGTTCTCGAACAGTATTCTGTGGATCACTGGTGGGTCTGTGGTCAGCTGGGTAGACAATCTGTGGACCCTGCTCTGTTTCCTGAAACTAAAACCAGTTAACAATAATTAAAGCCTTTTCTGATATTACTTTTCCAATAAGGCAATTGGGGTAGCTGCCAAAAGGATGCCAAAAAGATTATACAGCCATGATCTACAGTTGCACAAGAAAGATCTGTCCATCAGGCAATCTCTGCATCAACTTTTTTTTTGTTCCAGTTCCATGGAATAGTTTGAAAATCCCATGCTAACAGATCTTCAAAAAGAATTTTAAGGAAGAAAAATAGAACTCAATAAAAATTTAATACAGCATTCCTCCTGGGATGCTGTATTTCCAAAGAAGATTTGGAACCAAAATTAGATGCTTAAATTGCATTTGTTTTCTAGGAAATATTGAAAAAGTAAGCATTGTGACCTTAATATGTGCTGCTTCAAGGACATTAAACTATTTCCTCCTTGCTTGCCAACATTGTACAATAATAGTAATATGCACTCCACATATAATGATGATGACTTTATTAACTAATTCTCAATTTGAGCTAAAAATATAAACAAATTTTGAGTTAACAGATTTTTTTATAATTGAAAATGTTTAATTTCAGCCAAAAAAAATTTCAGTATGGATCTTTAATTAAATTTTCCTCCAAACATTTACTCATTTTTACTAGATTTTTTTGCTAGATTTGTGGATATACCCACCTGCTATGTAGACATGTATTTCATCATGTCCATTAAAAGTAACAGAAGTAAAGGGAGGAAAAACTGACATAAAATGAATGGTAGCGCCACCAGAGATAAAGCAATACAGACAGATAAAGGCAAAGATATCAAGACTTGAAAATGGGAAAAGAAAATAAATATTCCAGGAAAAAACATACCCACAAGAAGAAAAAGAGGCATGACCAAGGGGGAAAGAAAAGGAAAAAGAAATTGGGAAGAAATATTGTGTAGCAGCTAAATCATGGGATGTCAAGTCAAGTGATATGAGTGCTATTCTCAGCCTTTGGTTTTTACGACCTTGAGCAAAAGTCTCCTAAAACTTCTCCGTGCCTACCTCCATTGCAGTGACACTCCATTACAGTGTCAGAAGATGCCATTACAAAATTGTTGATTCTGGTACAGTTAAAACATTTCTTCTTTGCTGTTTTGACAGAGCTAAAAGCACAGCTGGGTTCCATCATTATTGCAAGAGAGAACTATGTTCAACTGTGATACAGTGTGAAAGATCAGAGCTAGGTCACCTGACACAGACTCATTTTGGAGGATGGCTTGCTAATTAATTTCTCCTTTGAAAATGACAGTGATAAAACATACTTCATTCATGATTGCTGTCAAAATGATCTGAAATCCATGGATGGAAGGCACTATCTACAGGCAGTGATATTGTTAAGCTATCTGAAGATGAAAAGGAAAATGTCCAGAGCTACTGCACTGGTAAATATTTCATGTGTGTTTAAAAGTGACACTATCAAAATAGGAAAAGTTGGGGATTTTTTGTTTCCTTTTTTGTTTTAACACACAACAGTTCTAAATTAAATTATTTTTAAAAATGAAGAAGCACCTCTAGGCTACCTAATGGGGTTTTTTTAACTAAAATTTTTCGTGTTCCAAGCCAAAGCAACCAAATCAATTCCAAATCTGTGAGTCATTCAAGAACCATATGTGGCCCTACTACCGGCAAGCATCCTCCACCCCCACCTGGGGCTTCAGATGTTTCCAAATCATTTGGCAGACATCCTACATGCAGGCCCAAGTCCAGAGACTTGAGGCTCAGATGCCACCCAGTTTTGCTCGCCCTCAGCTGTACAGCTGCAGGAGCAATCTAAGGAGGAGTCTCCAAAAATAATTTCTCAAGTTAGTGATGGGCAATGCTGTACTCCCTTGTACATGCAGCTTCCCTGACCTGGCTCTGGCTCCAGGAACAGCCCATAAATAGTGATGGTGTACGGTGGAGGAGCAGTCAGAGGTTCACCACAGTGGGGCAAGGAGTGGGGGGCGGGAAAGACTGTCTCCTTCTTTCTCTGCTACCATATATGTGGGTTCTCTGTGACAAAAAGGGGGTGACACCTTCCCATCCCCACAGCAGTGACTGCTCCTTCACCATACACTGACACCACTTACCTGCTCCCACCATTTTCAAAGCAGGAAAGGTACAGGCTCTGGGGGGAGGAAAGAAAGAGGGTGAGGCTCCCTTCAAGCTGCATTCTGGCATCACCTCCCCTTCAGCAGTGCCTAGGACTTGTGCCCCATTTGCCCATCCATCATTGCACTACTACTTTCAGTCTAAAGCGTAAGTCTTTCCCATCTAAGTTAAAAAATAATTTCTATTAGTGAATGAAGCATAAACTTTACAAAAGAGCTATAAGATCTCATGTAGTCCAGCCTCTGGGAGAGATGGAAGATGATTCCTTGTCTTATGTTCTATTGCTTTGCCCAGTGGACCAGTGATTTTAAAATCCACTACTTTCCTACACAGACTAATATAGTTCATAGCTTACAAAATGTCCCAGATATTCATCTTAAATACCCTAAGCAATTTCCTATGCCTTTTCTTATTTTATACGCATTTCATATACATAGCAACTGTTATCATAATTCCCCTCTATTGATTAGTTATCATTTGACCAAATTTTAATCATTAGCTTCCTTAAAAGTGAATAATTTCAGCACCTTAATAAATTGCGCTGGCAGAGATTCTCAGACTGAGTCCAGATATTCATTGTTTCAATGGTTGTAGCTTCTGCCAGAAAGCAACAAATAAGAACTGCTGCTGACTGCCTCAGCAAGAGCATGTTTCTGTCAGGGTGATGTCACTTAGCCTTTCTCCAAGCAAGGAGTATCCACAAGGCAGTGGGGGCTAGGGTTTTGAGGTGCCTTGTACTCACCTTACTCTGGAGGTTGCAACATTGTGGTATTTTATAGGCACTACCCTACCACCAGTAGCTGCACCACATTGCCACTAGGCCCTCCAATTGGATGCAGTATAGGGACATGCTCCAACACTGATGTACATGTTTACATGAACAGTAAAAAGGTATTTTTATACAGTCAGCAATAATTTATTTTGTTCCTTTGCTTCATTTTTGTACTTCCTCTGGCCCAGCGGCAGTGTCCTCCCACATAAACTTCAGCACTGACTCAATAGGACAACTCCTGGGGGAGAAAGTAGAGTAGTAGAGTTAATTTAGCTCATGGTCTTGAATATCAATTTTTTTGTCAGTTTTACTTCAAATACACTGGCCTTACTCTATAAACGTGCAACATCTAGATCTTCCTATGAGAGCCCTGTGAATTTTGCACACAGAAAGCTCAGACCCCGAACATGTTTAAGTTTCACTTGCTTGCTTAAATTGCTCGTGATACCCTCTTTGCCCCACTGCTAAGTTCTCCTGTCATGTGGTATATGTATTAAAGCCCCAGATATTGTCATCATATAAGCTACCCTTAGTTTTGTTTAAGAAAAAAATAAATTCTCTCCTCAGCGTGAAGAAAAGCTTGATAACATGCATGCTAAGGTCCCCTCTAAAAATAAGCCAAGGAAAAAGGGCTGTGAATGAACTATTTGAAAAACTACTACTAATTTTTAAGCCAGTCCCACAGTTTTTGGGGGGGTGACTCATATTTTGGGAAGCTGATCATCCTTTTGGAGACACAAAAACCCCAGGCACGTTTCCAACATCTGGTGTAGCCTCAAGAAAAACATATTTTTTATGCCTGAGAGAGGCTGAGGGAGGAAAGTGGGTCCAATCACTGCTCTCTCTGCCACTGCTTCCAGTTGGCAGGAGTCTCTTTTCCCTCAGCCCCATCCAAACTACTTCCACAGGCCCCGGGACTAGCTCCTGCAGGGGAGCAGGTTTTTGGTTGTAGCTCTGTCGGTCTAAGGATGTAGGCAAGCAAGCTTCTTTGGGTAGATGTGATGTCTTTTATTGGACCGGAGCACGTGGCCCCAAGCAGGTGACAGCTGTTTGCCGCGCAAAAGACCTGAAGGGCTGGATGCGGCCGCAGGAGCTTCAACAAGCCCGGAGCACGCAGCTTAACACGTGCAAATGAGGGGGGGGGGGCTTTTTTAAGGGGAGAAAGACATGACCGAAGCGCTTTTAAACGTGCAGGCTGCCGGTGGCGCGGGGGGGAAGAAGTCCTGGTATCCGTTCCGATCCCTACACAGCGCAGCTCACAGCCGCGCATCGCCTACTACCCCTCCCCAGCTCGGGGGGGCGGGGTTGGACTGGCGCGCGTGCGCAGGCCGAGCGGGGCCCCTCGCGGCGCCAGGCAGCAGGCGCTGGAGGCGGCGCTGACGTCATCGAAAGGGGCAAGGCCGTGCAGGGCACTCTGGTGGGAAAGGAGGCTGGATGCGTGCGCACACGGGGGAGGTGGCGACGTCATGGCTCGGTTCGCGCTGACCCTCGTCCGGCAGTGAGTGCGGGCGGGTGGCGGTGACGGTGGCGGCACCCTTCCCCCCTACATTCTCGCCCCACCCCCTCCCTCGCGCTTCCCTCTGTCGACCCCCCACCCTCGGCCCGGGTCTGGAGCTTCCCCTGGCCCCGCCCCCTGTGCCGCCTCGAGGGGAAATAGGGGGCGGGGCGGGGCGGGGGGCGGCGTGACGGGGCCGCTGTGTTGCCCTTTGTGCCAAGTTGAAGCGAGGTGACGGGAGGTGGCGCTGAGGGCTCTCTGACAAGTACCCGGCCGTTAGCGCATGTGTGCGAGCATTTCAGCCCTTGTATGATCAATAACAGCACTGAACACGGATAAGAGAAATGCGAAACTCTTAAAACCCTCGGTTCGGAGGTGATACCTTTTATTAGACCAACTGAAAACCGGCAGCTCATTGATGCAGCATCAGCCTGAATGGGTTTGGGGTTTTTTAAATTAATATATTTTGTGTTCCAGAACTAAACAGCCAAGTTGGATCAGTTGAGCAGGACTTAATGGGCCCCAAAACTGTACGGATTGAGCATGCAGAGCTTGGTCTTTTTAAACCCGGCGTGTGGTGCTACAGCCGGCCAGCGAGCGTCCTCCATCCCAGCCTCCCACCTGGGCCTGCAAGTGCTCCCAGATCCATTGGCAAGCACTCCACATGCAGACCCAAGTTAGGAGGTCTTGGGATTCGGATGCCCTAAGACAGTGTTTCTTGACCTGTAGGTCACAAGAATCTGTGAAAGGGTTGCGAACAAACTTGAAACATGGACTTTCCCTTAAAGGAAAAGAAGTAGGAAACTGTGGCTTGCAGCCCTCCATGCCCATACATCCAGCCCCTGCCCCACACTGGGGGCCTGGTGGTGGGGGGCACTGGGTGGGGACTGTCCATTGATGTTCACAAATTGGTCTGGGTACAAAAAAGGTTGAGAACTGCTGCCCTAAGATACTACAGACAAGCATCCTCCATCATCTGGGATTTCAGATGCTTCCTATGCTCAATCTTAGCCCATAAGAGGCCTGTCAGTACTTTTTTGTGACTGCTTGCCTCGGAATAAAGAAATGCTTCAACTTGACCCCGTTCTCACTCACTAGAGACCTACAGTGAGCAATATAAGTAAATAAGACTACTTATTTGTATAGTTAGTGTATATTTTTCAATGTACAAATAGTTTTTCAGGAAATACAATAACTTTGACCTTCCAATACGATAATTTCATATTGAAGACCTGACAGTGCTGCCTTGTGGCTCCGTCTTCAGCCCAGGCCCCATGGGCATGGCTCAGAGCCCAAAAAGAAACCGGCCGGTACTTCGGGGAGCTCTGGGCTCCCTGCTCTGGGGCAGGTTTCTTAAAGAAGTCTCCAGAATGAAATTAAATGTTTAAATTAAAAAATGTCAAATTAAATAAAAAATAATTTAAATTTTTTAAATTAAAACAAAAATAAATGAATGAAGCCCAGGGTGGTGTGATGAGCTGCGCTGATCAGACCCCATGGATCTCATGATTCTGGCATTGCAACGTGCAGCAGGAGCTCACAGGCGTTCATTGGAGCCCTTAAAGAAGTCTTCAGAATCAAATTAAATGTTTAAATTAAAAAAATGTCAAATTAAATTATACAATTATTTATTTATTTTTAAATTAACGAAACCCAGGGTGACACAATGAGCTGTGCCTGTCAGACCCCACAGATATCACCATTCTGGCCTTGCCACATCCAGCCGGAGCCCACAGGCTTTTGTGGGAGCCCCCAGCATCTGGTGCTCCAAAGGGCTAGAAGCCCTTGGATGTGAAGGGAATTTGTCTCCTTGCCAGGCTAGAAGCAGCTGGGGCCCAGGGGAGGAGTCATGCTCGTCTCCTCAGAGGTGCAGAACTTCTCATCCTCTGTCCTGCCAGCCTGGGAGGCAGGGAAAAGGTTACTGAGTTACGTGCTTAAAACAGAATGAAGCATACAGTTGCCCAGAGCTTAGCATAGGTCTTGTTTTTTGTAACATGGCAGTGCACAGAGAGGAGTATGAAACCACATCAACACCTTTAGCTCATGCAGTTGGAGACCTCTATTTCTTAGTTGGTTCTCCACTCACTCTCCCTTCCAAAACCCTAAAAAGAACTTACCTATGTTTGTATGCCACAGCTTTGCCCAGCTGATGGTGATGCTAATGCTAGCTGGAAGCCTGACTGTCTTGAGTCCGGAGCCTGTGGGCCCTGTCTGCTGTGCTCTGCTCAGTGTCCACCCCCTTGGTGCACTCATTTGGAAACTATGACCCTCATTCCCATCTCTGCTTTGTCTTTGAGTTGTTGCAAGAAATCAGTGATGTGCCCTTACAGGCCCCCATCACTGGGTGGGGAGGGGGAAGATATAGTTCTACTTGCTGGGCTTTGGCCCATCTTCTTTCCAGAATGGCACCAGAATGTATTCGGACTCACAAAATTATAAGGCCTGATTGCCTTGGGCAGCTACCGTAAAAGAGTATCTGTCTGTATCTTTCAGTAAATTTTCAGTTTTGCAAGAGAGTGTGCACTTGAAAGTATCATATAAGGTCTTCCCAGTAATCCAGGTTCATAAATCATTGTTGCAACTGTACACTTAACCCATAAAGTCAGCCTTAAAAGTAAAGAAAGTAGTATGTACTGAAAAAAAGAAGGGCAAGGCAGCAATGCAACCTTACACATAGCTGCATTTTGGCTCCTCCTTTGAGCAACTTCTAAAAGTTTGGGATCGCTTCCATGGAGTTCTTTCCTTTGCCAAATGCTTTGGGGAAATCAAATGAATATGCATGCATTCTAAAGACTTTTTCAGGTCTCACTGAAATTTTTTCTATTTTGTATTATAACACACTTAAATTTTAATATAATGCTGCTCTGGAAATGGCTGTATTCAGAAGTATCTACAGAACTTACAACATGCTACTCGAAGTAAAATATTGTGATATACAAAACTGACACGTGGTAGTTTTAAACAGCTTTGAGAGTATTTTAACTTAACTCTTGAAGAAAGCATAACACTATTTTTTTGTTTATACAATGTCTCTTGAAACAACTGAAGTAAACACTCTGGGAAACACTTGACCTGATACAAAAAAATTGGTTCCATGATATACTGCTTAATTAAATCTGACTAGGCATTTGAAGTTTTCTTTATCTTAATGGTTTACCAAAATATAGATGACAAATTATATCAGTAGGTTTTGTTATGTTGCTTGAAGTGCCCTGTTGCATGTGCAATTACTTAAGGCTATTTGTAGACTGTAAGCAGTTGGGCGTAAGGCCTTCTTCCTGCCAAAAGCACTCTTGACTTTGGCAGAGGTAGAGTGGTCATTTAGGAAAAGGATAGTACTGGGTAATATTAAAACAAGCATTTATATCAGAAACTGTCATAATGTATAGCCTTAGCTTTTATCTTTCAGTTACAGTGGATCTTGAAGACTTCTGAACACCATAAATAGCTTTTTTTTTTTTTTTTTTTTTGGGGGGGGGCG